AGATACTGGAGTAGTTTGCCATTTCCTTCTACAGCTCATTTTACAAAAAAAGCAACTGGGACAAACAGGGTTAAGTGACTTGCCCAGGGTCACACAGCTAGTGAGTGTCTGAGGCCAGATTTGAATTCAAGAAGATGAGTGTTTCAGACTCCAGGCTTAGTCCTCTATCCACTGGGCCACATAGCTGCCCAATCATTTGTATAGTGTTGATCACTGAACTCATGAGAGCTAATGAGATTAATAGGGAAGACTTTAATATAGAGAGAGAAATGAAAAAGGCCCAAGGAAGAACCTCGTAGGATACCCGCAGTTAGTGGGCATGACATTCCAGAAGAACTAGTAAAGGAGACTGAGAAGGAATGGTCAGGTAAGTAGGAGGAGAATCAAGACAGATCTGTGTCATGAAAACCTAGAGAGGTGGGAGTGGCTTGTTGAAGAGTACATATGGATGCAGAGAGGTATGGAAGAATTAGGATTGATAAAGGATCATGATATTTGTCAATTTAGAAATCATGGGTAACTTTAGAAAGAGCAATTTTGGTCAAGTGATGAGGATGGAAGCAAGACAGTAGGAGGCTTAGATTCAAGTGAGAGAGGAATCAAAAGTGTTGATTTTAGATGTCTTTCTAAGGAATTCTACTGAGAAAGAGAGCAGAGGTATAGAATGATAGAAAGCATGATTTGTAAGTGAATGAGGACTTTATAGGAATAGGAGAGACCTGGGGAGTTTTTAAGTAGCAAAGAAATAGCTAGTGGATAGTGCAAGACTGAAGATCAGAGGAAGGAGAATGAGAGAGGGGGCAATCTTCTAAAGAATGCATGAAGGAATGGGATCAAGAATTCATTTAGAATGGTTTGCCTTGGTAAGGAAAAATGTTGCCTCATTATGAGAGACAGGGTGAAGGAGCAGATAGCTGGGGAATATATCTGAGAATTGTGAGATGAAGAGGATATAAATAGGATCTTTTAGTGAATTTCTTCAATGTTTTTGGTGAAGTATGAGGAAAGGTATGCAAATGAGAAAAAGGTGGGAGAAAGCAATGCCTTGGGAGCTGTGAGAAGACACAAAAAGGTTCAGAATAGCTGGTGTGATGAATGGGATAGCAGACTGATTTTAGCGAGCTCTAAAAGGACTGCCTTGCTGAAGTGAGGATCCAGTTGAGATTATGTAACTTAAATTTGTGGTAGGCCCATTCAGTAAGGTTTTATAAAATTCTCCAGCTCTCTCAGCAGGACAGAAACAGGAGCCAAGGCAGCCAACGGCAGTAATCTAAGATTGGAGTTTCATAATTGGTGATCATATGACTGGTGATAGAACAAAAGATAGGGATAATACAAGTTTAGTGAACGATTGGTAGTCTAGTTTGGCTGGAAAGTAAAATACATGAAGAAGAATATAATAAAATAAAACTGGAAAGATAAGTCAGGAACACTGTGAAAGGCTACAACTTCTACAATGAGGAATGTGTATTTTATCCTGGAGGAAACAGGTAATTACTTGAGATGTTTGAATAAGGAGTAACACTTTTAGACCTATTCCTTAGAAGGATTAAATTTGCCTTTGTGGAAGGCTTGAACTAGATAGTGGAGAGGAGATGGGTTTGAGAGATGTTGGAGGGGAGGTTAATTTAGCAAACCTTAGCAATAGATATAGCAAAAAGGATGGGAGAAAGAAAATTTTAAAATGACCCCAGGATAACAAATTTGAGTGAGTAGGAGTATGGTGGTGACTTTAATAGAGATAAGAAAATTTAGAGATGGGATAGGCTTAAGGACGAAGATCATGAGAGTGCTGATGATTTCTGGGGTAGTTCCTAGAATGTGGGGACAGATAAAATAAAAGGGATAAGCCTTAGCAAGAAATGGGAATTCTACTTCATTTGACAAAAGAAGGATAAAACAGTGAATGTGTAATGATTCTAAAATGGTTTTATGAGTTGAGAGGTTTCCTTTTTGATAATCAAAATAATTCCAAATTGTCATATTGTCAAATCAACGCAAAAAGCATTTATTTGCTTACTTTGTGCCAAGCATTGTACTAAGCATTGGGAAAATAATATAAGTAGAAAGCTGAAAAGTGTGTGTGTGTGTGTGTGTGTGTGTGTGTGTGTGTGTGTAGGGGTGGGGCAGGAGGAATGAAGAAGATAGTGGGGAGACCACAATGCAGAAACTCCAGGAACTCAGGACTGAAGTCTGGAGAGGAATGAAGACATGGCTGCCCTTACTTTACTCTGCCCATCTGCGTGCCTGGTCCCCACCCATTCACATGCTTATAAGTGAAGCTGAAGGAAGTTACACAACCCTGTTGACAGTCTCCATCATAAATGCTTGCTATCTAAATTCGACTGGGCCCGCCCTTTAACAAGGCAATCCTTTTACCCTTTCCTAATTGGTTCTTTGTCCTGAGGACTTCACCTTTATACCTTACTTAGAAAATCAAGGTTATTAGCCATGAGTTCTCTCACCTTTCTTTGCATCTTACAATCCCTTAACCCCACTCTCTCTATTCCTTTATTCCAATCTATGATGAAGAGATGACTCATTTCTTTGACAACTCCAATATCTCTCATATAGCCATGATCCCATAACCTCCTGTCTTCTCTAGCAAATTGTTGCAGCAATCATTGTATTCTGCCATCTTCAATCTATCCCTATCTATGATTCTGTCCTTGCTGCCTGAAAAAAAAAGCTAGCATTTATATAATGCTTTAGATTGCAAAGCTTTTTTATATATATTATCACATTTGAGCATCACAAAAACTGTAGGGAGATATTACAGTATTCCCATTTTACAGATGAGGAAACTGAGACACAGAGAGGTCAAGTGACTCGCAGGGTCACATAACTAAAAGTGCTTGAAGCAGGATTTGAAGTCAGGTCTTCCTAACATACACACATACACACATGCACATATATATGTACATGCAATATTATATATAATATATATTAGTATATAGATATATGTAGTATATATTAATTATATTAGTTCTGATATACAATTTACATTACATATGTAAATGTGCATATACCTGTATATCATATGTATGTATATATAGCAATAAATATACATGTATACATACACGCACATACTAAAGTTATTACATATATGTACATTATACATGCTTCACCATACATACCACATATATATGCCCATACAATATATAGTGTATATCATATACACACACTTGCCTACCACAAAACTGTCACTCCATCTCACCAAAACTGCCGTTATATCTTACCATATGTATATGTCTTTGTATGCATTTATAGATGTACACATGCACGCATACATGCAAGCATAGATATCCAGTGGTTGAACAGGGAATGAATAAAATTCCCTTTCCCAATTTAGGCAATTGATGTTTCAGGGGTAGGATGCTTTGATGATGACAAAGCCTCTGATTGCTTCTATCCATAAGTAGCTCAGTACTGTAGGACTTTTGCGTTTTGAGCTAATTTAATATCATTATTCATCACTGAGCAAGAAGAGCTCATGACACCTTGGACCTCTAAAAGGAAAGTTACTATGATTACTGAGTCCTTTCTTCACCTCTTCCTGCTTAGTAGTCAAGAAAGAGATTGCTTCATAATTTCAAAGGACAAGAGTACTTCAGTGCTAAAGTATACATGGCCAGAATCAGGTTGGTGTTTCATCATCTCCAAGCCATGCAAACACTGAGTTAGTACATATGGTTGACTAGAATCAAGGACAGCTTTGTGCTTCCCCATCAAATCTCCAATTACATAGAAAAATTAAGACAAAGTAATTTCATGGGTAATAGGAAAGCTTTAACAATTGACGGGATACAGAATGGCCTATTATGGTAGGTTAATAATAAGCATTTATATGGTACTTTAAGATTTACAAAGTGTTTAAAAATATTATTTCATTTTATCTGCACAACAACCTTAGGATATAGGTGCTATTGTTACTTTTACAACTGAGGAAATTGTGGAAGACAGAGGTCAAGGTTGCCCACCATGGTCACATAGCTGGTAAGTGTCTAAAGCTGGATTTGAATTTAGATCTTCCTTACTCCAGGTACAGAGTTCTATGCATTGCACCACCCAGCTGCTTAACTTTACCTGGAATAAAGCAAGGATTTCTAAGTGGTGGAAGAGAAAGAAGAGCACCCCAGATATAGGGTTTAATATAGGCCAAAAAAAGCTTATTATGTACTTTTCCTTGTTCAAATTACTTTTTTAGTTGTTGCCGTCATTATTACACAAAGGGATAACTCTGGTATAAATTTTCCACCTTAAGCTGACCATTGGCTTTCTAATGTAATCATCTGATAAGTTATCAGCTATCATTTTCATAGTAATGAATGATTATAGGTGGCATGGTGGGAAGATTCATCTTCCTGAAGTCAAACCTGGCTTTAGACACTTACGGGTGTCTGGGTGACCCTGGTCAAATCAATTCCCTCATCTGTAAAATGAGCTAGAGAGGGAAATGGCAAACCATTTCAGTATCTTTGCCAAGGAAACATCAAATGGGGTCATGAAGAGTTAGACACAACTGAAAAACAACTGAATAACAACAACATTTAATACAATTTCTTAATTTCTCTCACTAATTCCAACCTTCACCCTCCTCTCCCCCAAAATCTTTTTATTTCTTTTTTTTTCTTTTGCTTTGTTTTCAGTGAGGCAATTGGGGTTAAGTGACTTGCCCAGGGTCACACAGCTAGTAAGTAAAATATTTTTATTTCAACCACAAATATGACAGATTTCTGTGCCAAGGCTATCTTTACCGTTCTCTGCACCATTTGAAGTTGCTTGTGAAACAGAAAACAAGCCAAAAGGCTTATATGAAGAAGGAGAAAGCAAAGCACAGGATACCACAAAAAGAAAACCTGCTTCTAGTTAATTGAAGGGAGTCTCGGACTCCCACTTTTCAAATAATCAGTGTGGCCACAATGGCATCTGAAATCTTCCTTTGAAATTGCTCACCCCACACACACTTCAGAAGATGAATTTTATTGATTAGCTAGTACCTTCAAATAGCCAGAGAGGTTCGACTGCAGAGAATGCTTATCATAGTCTTGGATGGTCCAAGAAGGGCTCTGTTTTCTTTCTTCCATGGCCTCCTCTAGCCTTGTGTCCCCATACAAAGGATTATTCTTCAGTTTGAAAGTGGAGGTACTCTGTTCACTCAGAATGCAATTAATAAGCATTGGGTCTTTCACACTTGATTTTCCACCAACCTGCTCAGCAGCATTTCTCTTTTCTCTCTGTAAAAGATTTAAGGAAGAGAAGACTTTTATAATTTGTTTGCCAGTCCACTCCAATGCTGTTAGTTTTTCACTCAGAGGGTAAAATGTTGGCGAAAGTTTTAACCTAGGAATTGTGGATGATACCTGAAAACCAAGGTTTATTTTTAAGTTAGAGAAAAAATAAGAATGGAAATACTAGCTTCTAGCTATGTAACTTGAGTTTGGGCAGCTAAGTGGCACAGTGGAGAGAGCACTGGGCCTGGAGTCAGGAAGACATCTAAGTGAGTTTAAATCTGGTCTCAGACACTTACTAGCTATGCGACCTTGGGCAAGTCACTTAACCCTGTTGGCCTTCAGTTTCCTCATCTGTAAAATGAGCTGGAGAAGGAAATGGCAAACCACTCTAGTATCTTTGCCAAGAAAACCCCAAATAGGGTCACAAAGAATGGGACATGAGTGAAACAGCTGAAGAACTTGAGTTTCTCATTCTGTAGTTATGATACTTCAAAGGTGCTAAATGTGTGAGATTCAGATAATGTTACTAGGACACGCAGAAGACATTTATTAACAGTTGAACACTTAAGTGCCTTCCTCAAAGAGGTCATAGAATCTGAGGTGGTCACATTTTGCAGGGACAAGAAAGACTGATGAATAGATAAACCTTCAAAGTTATTTTCTCATTTGGCAAGATTTTGTGAATTACTTGGGACAGTGATAATTTTACATGTTTTTATTTTATGATAGCAGTGATCATGGATTGAAGAGATGAATCTGATAACTGGTTTTCCCCCCTTTTAGTTCTGCAATTTGCTGGATTTCATGCCATATATGTTTCTGTGCTCATTTTTGTTGTTTTTAGATCTATCATTTTTAAAAATAGCTATTACTCTAAGGAAAAATACAAAAGTTGTAGCTCTAAAAGTATATTTTAAAAATTCTTAGAGATGTTATTGTGGCTGTTGGTGTGGGAAAGTAAGGCATTTTTTTTTCAGAGGTACCCTGAATGTCTCTAATTTCTTCTGGACTTTCTTTCCCATATATTTCAAAAACATATTATAATGGCCTTTTCTTTTTCTTTCTTTCTCTTTTTTTGGTGGGGAAGGTGGGGAGAAGGGTAACCCTGTCTCTAACTCCACTCTCCCTCCCAACCTCTGCCATTGAGGGAAAAAAAAGAAAAACAAAACCTTTGTAAAAACTATGCATAGTAAAGAAAAACAAGTTCTAACATTGGTTATGTTTAAATATATTTGTCACCTTTCTATAAGGAGATGGGTAGCATACATCATCATAATCAGTACTCTGGAATCATTGCTGGACATTGCATTAATAATAGTTCTTAAGTCTTTCAAACTTATTGGTGCATAAATTTTTTTACCTGTTTCTGCTCACTTAATACTTCACAAGTTTGTTCTACTCCGTATCAGTCTTCCCAAGTTTGTACATTTCTTGCTGTGGAATATTAATGTATTATAATTGGCTCATTCTCCAATTATTTGCTACAACATACAGGGCTGTTATAAATGTTTGTATATATTTCTTCTTTTGTTATTCCTCTGATCTCTTTGGCATATAGGCTGCAATGATTAAAAAATTCTGAGAGATATAGTTTCTGGGGTAATTTAGTTATCTTACTAATAATGCTAGCACGTCATTAATAAAAGGATAGTCATTTGGCCTTCTCTCTTAGACCAACGATCCCTCATGGTGGTGGGCTCACAGTTTATATATCCTTCAAAGAGTAGGTGTTACTGAGGGGTGCCATTCAAGTGGCAAGTTAACCATTTGGTTAACACAGTGGAGGTGGGCTATCTTAAAATGAGGCTCTTGGGGCCAAAAGAGACATCAACTTCCATATCACCTCTCTTGAAAGAAAGAGAAAATAAATATTTTCCCAGAGCTGTATAAACAAACACAATGTGGAAGAATATACCCATTAGTCCAAGCTTAGAATTTCTTTTACTGTCTGATCAGATCTTTAGCCTGGGTAAATCTCTAAGAGAGATTTCCTACACTGATTGGTTTCTAGATGAGGAAGTAGAAAAGGTGAAAAAACTTGGTCCTGATTCAATAATTAGTTATTAAATATAAGAGAGGAATAATTAATTTCTCAGAAGGCCCAGTAATGATATCACTAGGTCAAAGAGTATGCACAATTTAGTTACTTTTGAGGCATGGCTCCAAATTTACTTTCCAGAATGGCTGGATAAATTCACAACTCCCCCAACATTACATTGATGTGCCTACTTTCCCTATAGCTCAACATCTGTCTTTCTCCTTTTTTTTGTAATCTGAATCTGATGGGTGTCAAATAGATCCTCAGAGTTGCTTTAATTTGCATTTCTCTAATAATTAATCATTTGAAGCATTTCTTCATATGCTTCATAGCTTACATTTTTCTTCCTTTTAAAATTGCCTATTCGTAACTTCTGACTACTTCTTGTAGAATAGATCTTGTTCTTTCAGATCTAAATCCATTATTTGGACGTGAGACATTTATCTGAGAAAATTTCTGCAAATATTTTTTTCCCTCAGTTAACAATTTTCCTTCTAATTATATTAGATTTGCATGTGTAAAAACTTTGAATTTTATATAATAAAAACTGCTTATTTTATCTTCTGTGCCCTTCTCTATGCCTTATTTGGTTTTTAACTCTTCTTGGTTTCATGTTTTTGTTTTGTTTTGTTTAGGCAATTGGGGTTAAGTGACTTGCCCAGGTTCACACAGCTAGTGTCAAATGTTTGGTCTGAGGCCAGATTTGAACTCAAGTTCTCCTGACTTCAGGGCCAGTGCTCTATCCACTGCACCACTGCTTTCATGTTTTTAAAGCTGTTTTCTTATTGCTCCTCTCATATTTTTTTTCTCATTTAAAGTTTATTAAAACTTTGACAGTATAAATTATTTAGGTTGTAGAATATCAAAAGATCAAACTTGATGAAGTCCGCATTTAAAAAAAAAACAACCCAAAACAAAAATGAATAGGAAAACAACAACAACAAAGGATGTTTTTCAGCAAATCTCTAAAACCTAAGGAGAAAAACGGAAATACAAAGTTCAAGGCCCTCACTTATCCACTTTTGTCTTCATCAGTTCCAGGGCTCACACATTAATTGATCATGATCAGATTTTTTTCTTTTGATTTTTTGGTTGATTTCTTTTTCTAATGAGCATCTGGTCTTTTCTTCCTTCTTTTCTGTATGTAGAGGACTTTAATTCTCTGCCTTTACTATTTTGTTTTCTAGAGTTTGGACTTTGATCACCGTCAGCTTTTTTCTCCTTACTGTTGTCTCAGCTATGGTTATTGTGATTTTGAGTGCCTTTTTTCACTCTCAGTTCTTTTTTGTATGAACTTTTTTTTTTTGGCTTTTTGGTGAGGCAGGCAAGGTTAAGTGACTTGCCCAGGGTCACACAGCTGGTAAGTGCCAAGTGTCTGAGGCTGGATTTGAACTCAGGTCCTCTTGACTCCAAGGCCACAGCTCTATCCACTGCTCCACCTAGCTGCCCCCTCATATATTTTCGATGTGGCCCTTCATATCTAAGTAATATATGTATATATATGGTATAAGACGTTGGTCTATACCTAATTTCTGCAGATTGTCTTTCAGTTTTCTCAGCAAATTTTGTTGAAAAATGAGCTCTTAACCCAGGAGACAGTTCTTCCTATTTATCAAATACTCTGCTACAATATTTATTTCTTTTGTTTTGTTTTGTACTTAATCTCTTCCATTAATGCTGCTCTTTGCAGTACAATTCAAGATCTAGTAGTGTCAGGCCTCCCCTTCCCGCTTTTTCATTATTTCTTTTAACATTCTTAACCTAAGCATTTATATAGTATCTACTACATATTAGACACAAATGTTATCTCACTGGATCCTCAGCTATATGAGGCAGGTGTCATCTCTGTTTTACAGTTTAATAAATTCAAGCAAACAGAGGCTAAGTGACTTGCCCAGGATCACACAGCTAGACAGCATCTGAGGAAGAATTTGAACTGAAGTCTTTCTGATTCCAGGCCCAGTGATCTATCCACTGAGCCACCTAGCTGCTTGATTTTGTTATTTTTTTTGTTTGTTTTTGAAGAAAATTAGGATTATTAAGGTCAAACTGTTTACTTATATACATGAAAATGTTATCAGTATTATGAAAACTGTCATCATTACTAAAGTGGTTTGAAAGAAAGGTTAGGGCTGAGTTGTGTATGATGGGGTAATTCTAAAAAACACCAAAATTAGGTAGGAAAAGTTAAAGGGAGTAATTATATTACAAAAATGGGGTGTGAAAGGAAGAACTAATATAGAGGAAGCAGTGGAGGTGGGGGGCTGGTAATGTTAGAACCTTACTCTCATCTGGGTTGAAGAAGAAACAATATGTACATGTGGAAGGCTGTAAAAGTCTTCTGAACATGTAGAGAGGTAAGAAACCTGGAGGACAAGGTCACGGAGGGACTTTTAGAGGGGTGTATAGATTGGAATTTGGGAGGGTAGGGGGAGAGATGTGTGGATTGAGACTGGGAATGAGGGAGAGGATGAGGGGATTCTTGGAAGGGTAGGTGAAGTGGGGATGGGAGGGTGTGGGGGGGAGAAGATAAGGTAATAGGGATAGGGTAAAAAGAGAGACCAAGAAAGAAAATAGTGAGTAAAAATAAGATGGAGGGAAATTCACAAATAGTAATTACAACTTTGAAAATGAGTGGGTTATTTAAAGCAGCTCTCTTTATGGTGGCAAAGAACTAGAAATTACAGGGATCTCCATCAATTAGAGAATGGCTGAATAAGTTGTGGTGTATGGTTGTAATGAGATACTACTGTGCTATAAGAAACGAGAAGTAGAAACAAAGGCAGGAGTAATCAAAGGCTGAGGCTTAGCCGGGCAAGATCAGAGAAATAAGAAGGGGTCAAAGGATTTAAGACAGAAAACAGTGTAGAGCTGAACTGGTTCACCAGGGGATCAAGATGGGGGAGGCCTGGGAGAGAGCTAAAAGGTCAAGGATTTGGGGGTTACAATGAGGCTGAAGAACAGGGTTTGGACTTGCAAGATAAGGAGCGGTATAATGACATCATAATGGGATCAGATAAAGGAATTTCAGAGTTTATGAATATGGAAGCAGTGAATTTGTGGGTGATGACAAGATCAAAGGTATGACTTTCTCTCTAGCTGAGGTGGGGGGCGGAGATTGAGGTCTTGGGAAATGAGTAAGTTGAGGAATTGAGAAGTAAGGTTATTTCAAGTTGAATCAATGGCGAAGTCCCCTACTATCAGGGCAGAAGTACAAGTGGGGTTATTTTGAAAGAGGCTCTTGACCAACACAGGTGTCAATATTTTTTCCTTACTCTCTTAGACTCCAGATATCCAATCATTTGCCAAGTTTGTTTATGCTTTCACAACATCTCTCATATACTTCTTTCTCTCTTCAAACACTGGCAACAGCCTGGTACAGGACCTCATCACCTCATGCCTAAACCATTAAAATAGCCTTCGGGTTGGTCTCCTTGTCTCAAGCCTCTCCTTATTCTAGTCCACACTCTACTCAGTTATTAAAGTACTCTGGAGAGAAATACACATAGAGAAGACACAGCCAAAACACATGTGAGGAGGGGCAACTCATGCTTCTAGTGCTACAGGTTTGTAAGGTTTCTGCTGTCTTCTTAGGTGGCACAAAAACTTGCATTGTATGATGACAAGGAATCACCTCCATGACCTCTCAGGACAAGGATCAATGCAGTCTTGTGTCATTCTGAGAAAAGAGTACTTCAAGAGCCTAATAGCTTGCATTTGTAATATCCATAAGTAATCGGTTCTTTTTGTTTAGCAGCCCATTAAGAGATAGATAAAAGACAGGTGGAAAGATAGGTAGATAGATAGACAGTTGATAGACATATAGAAAGACAATGATAGATACTTGATAGATAGATAGTTGATAGACACACCAATAGATAGACATATAGACAGATGGACAGACAGGCAAATAGATATATAGATAGACAGATAGACAGATAGATAGATAAATAGATAGAGCTGGAACTTAAATCCAGATGTCCTGATTCCCAGGCCAATGATCTTTCCTTTGTTCTATTTTGTGCTTTCAGAGATTGGTAGAGTCATAGTTGAGAGCATACTCATGCTTTTGACTTTGTTGAGTCTCAGTTTCCTCATATAAAGTATGTTTTCATACTTTAAATTGGGTCTGGAATAGATGACATTTAACACCCTGTCCAACACAATCTATAAATTTATGAAATGCTATTATTTCAGTGGCAAATTTTCTATCTACCGTACTTAGTGTTAAGTATTAAATACTTACAACTAAAAGGAACTGCAAATGTCTTTGGATCCAACTCTCTTCCTTTACAGATAAGAAAGCTGAAGCCAAGAAAGACTAAATATTTAATGTGGGGCGCTTCTATGGCCAAATAAATCTGCAGAATAAAATTATTATCTGAACCGAGTTCAATTAAAACAAAAAACAAACATTTTAAACAGTCCCTGCAATTACTAAACCCAAACACAATACCTACAGACTTAAGTGACTAAAAAAAAAGTAAACTTTTTATTAATGCCAAGTACTACCATTTTACAAAGCATCCATTATAATCTATAAAAAGCCAGAACTTAGTACAAAACAGGAAATGTTGCATCCATGTTTTTTTATACATGCAGTGAAATTTATTGGAAACATTTTCTCGAAATAAATTTCATCTTGAAGGAGGACTAAGGTTTCTAGAACGGATGTGTGGATTATTTCAGTTTGTGATATAAACAAGAATGAATAACAGAGAGAAACAGTATTTCATCTGTCTAACATAAAAAGGTGGCTTGTGAGAAAAGTAGAAAAGTAAATAGAAGAAAATTCTGAAAGGTAGTTGTTAAAGTAGATCATACCAAAAATAAAACACAGGCAGGTAGAGGAAATAGTTAATAATGTATCCTTCAATTTGAATTATCTCACAATAAAGGTAATGAAAAGCCCACAAATACACCACTAAGGATATACTATACACGGACTCATGAATAATAAATGATTTTGTCTTTTTCATTTTTAATTTCTGTCCCAGGAATTAAAGTCAATCCAAAAGTTGTAATTGCTACATGGGTTTTCAGATCATTGACAATCTGTTCTGAATGAAACTCCTGCCCTTGCTTCTAATGAACTTATACGCTGAAACTCACTGGTTCTTTCTTCTTAAAATAAAACATTATTGGTGCAGCTAGGTGGTGGGGTGGATGGAGCACCAGCCCTGAAGTCAGGAGGACCTGAGTTCAAATCTGACCTCAGACCAAACACTTAACACTTACTAGCTGTGTGACCCTGGGCAAGTCACTTAACCCCAATTGCCTTAAAAAAAAAAAGACAAACAAAACATTATTTATGAATTAACACAGTATTAATGCACTATCGGAAAGTTATCATAGTTATCTGCTTCTTAGTTGGCCCACAGAGAGAGGGAAAGTATAGAAGAGAAATAAAATGCAGACTGGATTTGCAAGTCCTGAGAATCCTTTGTGCTTTTCTTAGATAAATAAAATTAATAAGTAGGAGAATCTGAATTGTCCTCTGAGATTTTCCTAGGCAAAAAAGAATTTCTCTATTCTCTTCCCTTTGTCACCACAGTTATGAAGTTGATGTATTGTCAAATGTCCCTTAATAGAGGTGATAATAAAATGGGAACTGTTCTAAAATGAATTTAATATGTTAACATATCTCAAATACTTTTCATATGAGTGGGGGAAAAAGTTCACTTTAAATGCTTCTACTCCTGATGCTTTCTTTACTACAGAATCAGGATTTATCCAAATATTGAATTATCAGACGTTTAAAAAAGAGGTTAAAATGAGCACAGAAGTGAGTCAGTGCTGTTAAGAAAGGGAATATGCAAAATTCTAAAACAGAAAACAGGAAGCACTAGAAAAGAGGACAAGTGACATTTATGCAATACTTTAACATTTACAAAAGGTTTTGCATCCATTATCCTCTATGATTGTCACAACAACTCTGTGGCTATTATTTTCCGTATTGACTTAAGAGCGCAATTAGAGTCACACAGCTAAGTGTTTGAGACAGGATTAGATGAAGTTCTTTTGTTCTCTGTACTGTGACTAAGGTGAGTAGAGAAAGCATCTTATATGGAAAGAGAAAGAGACCTTTCCCAAAAGTTACTTTGAAGATCAGTTCATATTCTGTTCAAGGTCACATGCATCACACAAACATAGAATTGATAAGGACAGAGAAAAATAAGGACCGCTTGACTCTAAATACCTCTGTGTCTTACCTGTGAGTAGACCAGGTTATGCCAGTGCTGAGCAGCTGGATAATTGCCACCTGGTAGTATTGGGAGACTAGCTGGAGAAGGGCAGATTTCTTTATCAAAGATTTCACTTCAAGTTGCAGGAATTTGTCAGGGTGGTTGTTGTTTGGCAAAACTGAAAGATCCATGTCTTTCTGTGTGGTGAATATAGTCCAGACTGTTGTTTGTAAGGCTCTTCCATTATTGATGTCCCAGGGAAGGATCTCATGTTTGCCTGTAACGATATCTGCCTGGTGTTCAGTTGCAGGCTCCTGAGGGAAATCAGTCCTTGAAATGATATATTAGATGTTAGGTGAGATAAGCAGAGGCAATAAACTATATTGTCTAAGGGTTCACATTTTGGATTTTCTGGATTAAACAGGCAGGTTGGCACTTATTAATATTTGCATAGATAAGAGACAGTGGGTTAGAAGATCCCCTCCCCCAAGGTTTTATTATTTGAGAGGGCACAAAGGGAGAGTCTTTTCTTTTCCTAATTTTTAAGCAATTGGGGTTAAGTGACTTGCCCAGGGTCACACAGCTAGTAAGTGTCAAGTGTTTGGTCTGAGGTCGCGTTTGAACTCAGGTCCTCCTGACTCCAGGGCTGGTGCTCAATCCACTGCGCCACCTAGCTGCCCGGAAAGGCAAACTCTTACAATGTCCCTTTGAATGCTGTCAAGACCTTCAGCAGATTCACTCATAAATTTCTAGTCTTACTGTGACCTGTGAGACTTACTTGGAATCTTTTGCCTCAGTTTAGGACTTAAAGTGTCTCTCTATTGCAACTTCTAATCATGTTCAGGTGTTGGACACTCCACCCTAAAAGAGGAAATAGGAAGATTTTGTCCCATGGCCTAGAGGTGGTCTCTATGTGAGGTCCAGCTGTGGACCCATGTAAAATCTAGATTCATCCAGTTAGCATACTGACTCCAAACTGAGTTAGGCTTTTCTCAAATTTTCTAGGATCTTTATACCTCTATACTAGAGTAGAACTCTGAAGAAAATTTCCAAAAGAAATTTGGAATGCTTATATTTAGATTGCTTCCAAAAGTCTGTTAGCATAGTCCCTTTTACAAGAAGTATTGTGTTTTTTTGTTGCTGTTATTTTGGCTAGGCAATGGGGTTAAGTGACTTGCCCAGGGTCACGCAGCTAATAAGTGTCAAGTGTTTGATCCGAGGCCAGATTTGAACTCAGGTCCTCCTGAATCCAGGGCCGTTGCTTTTTCTACTGCACCACTTAGCTGCCCCCTACAACAGGTATTATTAAAAGAAAATCTTTGTTCAGGTCTTTGCCTCAAGAATGTGGCAAACTCAGGTAGAGGAAATTTAAATGAATTTATTTTAAAATATCAGGGTAGAAATATGTCGGTGGACTAGCCATGAGGGCCAACCCTGGGGATTCAAACTGGGAACACTTCTATAAGAGCAAGACAATTCTGATGGGTTCATATTTGCAAAGGGGATGGGGCCATCACAACACAAATAAAACAGAAAGAGGCCAAAGCATGTACCTAGCTCCATAGGAGATTTGTCCAACAAATAAGGTGGCTCCCCCGAACATCTTCATTACAATGCTTTGCTACAGTAATTCTTCACCACCTTCTACCCACAGTAGTGGGATTCAAGATATCCACTGCATGAAACACATTCATTTTTCTCTGTTCCCTTGACTTTGTGTTCAATATTATAACATATACACTTTGCTTAAGGATTCACACAAAATAGTTTGAAAGCAAAAGGGAATTTGATGACTTGAATGGGAAGTGTGGCAATATTCAAAAACTAATCTGTTACTGACATCCAGTGCAGAAGTAAAGCACCTCAGATTACTATTGATAGCTTTAATGGAGGTATTCTGACTCAATAACTGCCTTCAGCTCACATGAACCACAAGTCAAATTAGTTTGTAGTGTATCATTGGCTTTCCATTTCTAGGAACAAGAAAGCCTTCCAATTTTAGAGATGAAAGATAAGCTCTTTGGCTTTTCCTAAAATTGCTGTACTAAGGAAGAGCCACAAGAATGAATGCACTTTGTTGGAAAATGGGGTTATAACACCCTCTTAGTTCAGGTTTGATGTTCTAATGAAATGAAGCTCTCATCACTTTTAACACCCCAGCTCTGTGGTAGAGAGGATTTACCTATAGCCTGATCCCTCACGACAGGGTGTTACTGGGGGAAGTGTTAGGATAAGTCCAAGGCTTTCTTACCACTGGAGGGAGTTTCCTAGTCTTTGCCCCAAATCTGCTCTCCTCTAATTTCACATATTCCATCTCTGCAGGAATCTAAATGGCTGGATCAGAGATCATAGGTTGGGTTCTCAGCTGTTCCACCATAGGGTGGGTCTCTCAGTCCTTAACCCCATTATCTATCAGGAGAGATCTCTTCACTTGTGCAATTGCCAGCTTCATGAGCTTTCATTGCATAGTCTCTGAAAGCCTGGAGCTATCTAGCTGCTAAAAGCACTGGCCCAGATCACTTTCAATGCCACTGTGCTGCCAGTACAATTTATGCAGCCCACTTAGCAACATCCAAGGAATGCTGGCTTGGCACTTTTGTTACCCTTTCAGGCAAACTTCTCCTTTCCCTAGTGGGCTTATCCTTCTGCCTGAGTGGAAGCCCAGTCCCACAGAGAGGGTACTCCATACGTGATCATGAAGGGTCTGGCAATAGAGAGATAGGCGGTGTCTCATCATCCAATCAGGACACCCTCTTCCTCCATAGCTGCAGGGCTCGTCAATTCAACTCAACTATGATGTGAGCCTTGAAGCCCTCTCCTCTTGTCTCATCCTGCCAATTATGCCTTTCCAAATGTCAAAGTTGCAGGGGAGGGGGTTTGAAGCATCCAGAAAAGCTAAGTGCCACTGTATCCTTGTTGCACAGTCTCACTGCATTAGGGCAAAGTAACCCTCATTTGTTTTATGTTCAGTGATCTGTAAGTGCTCATTTAGTCTCAACCTCCAACCCGAATTGACAGAGTTTGCTTTAGGACCACACCTCCAACATACATGAATAGGAAAAAAAAAACCATGAGAATAGCAATAAGGATCACTTAATTTTTTTTCTTTTTTTGTTTGTTTTCTCTCCTTTGATAGACACTGCCTACTTCTAGCTGGATATGAGTAAACCAAAATCTATCACAGGACATTTTAAGTGTATTGGAGGAATTTGATAGATAATTTTCACATGAGAGAATACAGAGCACCTGACATGAATATTTGTTTGATAGTCTTAGTACAGAAAAGTTTAATTACATGACAAATATAGGCAGTACTTTTCATTTGTGAGGTTTTTATGCCCCAATACCTGGTTAATTTTTGTGAAGGTGCCAAGCTAAGAAACAGATACACTCCTTTCTATTACAATTCAATATTTTTGAAAGATCTCTCACATCTAACTTTTCTAAAATTCTATTTATCTCCTTATCTTCATTTTTATTTATTTTATAGTTAGATTTATTTAGGTCTGAGAGGGAGTAAATTGAGGTCTCCTTATCCTGTATATTTCCTCCTGTATATCTTTTAACTCTTCCTTCAAGAATTTGATCGCTATGCCACATAATACATATGCGTTCAGTACCAATATTTATTCATTTTCTATGGTACTTCTTAACAAAACATAGTTTACCTAATTATCTCCTTCAATTAGGTCTATTTTTGCTTTTGCTTTGTCTGGAATCATGATTGCTACCCTCTTTTTTTTTTACTTCAGATTCTTAAAATATTTCAGTATTATTTGTGCCTCTTTTACCAAGCTGTTAATTTTCTTTTCGTAATTTTCTTGAATAGCTCTCATTTCTTTACCAAATTTTTCCTCTATAGCTCTTACTTGATTTTGAAATAATTCTTTCTATTATCCACATCGGAGAAAGAACTATGGAATCTGAATACAAATTGAAGCACACTATTTTCACTTCTTTCACAGCATGACTAATATGGATATACTATTAATATGACTGTACATGTATAACCTATATCAGATTGCTTTCTGTCTTGCAGAAGGGAAAGGGGAAGGAGAGAGAAAAATTTGGAACTCAAAATCTTATAATAATGAATGTTGAAAACTATCTTTTTACATATTATTGGAAAAAATGAAATACTATTACATAAAAAAAATTTTTTTCTCCATTTTTTAATCTCTTTCTTGTTGGATTTCTTGTTGGAATCATTAACCATCTGCATTTTTCTTTGATGCTTTGTTTGTAGATGTTTTCATGTCATTGTCTTCTTCTGAGTTTGTGATTTGAGTTTCCCTGTCACCATAGAAGCTTTTTATGGTCAGATTTTACTGTTGTTGTTGTTTGCTCATTTTTCTTGCCTATTTCTTGACTTTGGACTTTATATTAGAATTGAGCTCTGCTCATCTCTGGAGATGAGGAATGTGCAGCCTGAGAGTCTGCCTTTCTGTTTTACAGCTCAGTGGAGGCTTGTAAGTTTTTACTATTTCCAATGTGGTATGATTTAGGGAGAGGTCTGGTTACTCTCCTTCTAGTCTGTGGTCTGGTCCCTACCTAGATAGGGCTTCTGCTCCCTTGTGACTATACTTGCACATCTCTCTGCCCTAGAACTGAGTAATAGGTAATAGAACTGCCAGAGAGCAACCTTTCCTGCTCCCAGTGCTAGTACCAGGGTCCTCTGGGATCTCTTTCTGACTAGATGTTTAGTCCCTTTACCATCCCCTGGCACTGGGCTGCTCTCTACCACTGCTGCTGCCACAGCCAGGTGTTTTCACAACTGCCTCTTCAGTATCCACAGGCCTCTTTTTCTATCTCATCATAAAGAGCTAGAAAATGAAATTCCATTCAAAATGATTATAGAGTATAAAATACCACGGAAGTCCACTTAAAAGTCATTTAGAAATTAAACAAATACAATTGTAAAGCACTTCATATACACTGAAATGATTAAAAAATTGCTTATCACCAGGGCATATAATAAAAATGACAATACTACCTAAATAAATATACAGATTTGGTGTCATACTAAACTACCAAATGCCACTATATAGAACTAAAAAGAACAAAAACAAAAACAAATCAAAATTAATCTGTAAGAAATTATACTGTAAACTATACTCAAAGCAGTAATCATCAAAACAATTTGGTGTGATTAAAAAATACAAATGTTGATCAATGAAATAAATTAGGTTCCCAAAAGCAATCCACTATAGGGATAAGGACTCACTATTCAACAAAACATACCACATAGTAGTGAATGACCATAGTAGCACAGCATTTGATAAACCCAAAAACTTAAGCTTTTGGGACAAAAATTCACTATTTGACAAAAA